GTCATAGCATAGTACGGAAGAAGACATAACCTTGCATACTAATTATTTTATTTTAATCCGCATTAATGGAGACATGAGCAAAAGTTAGTAATGATTTTTTTTGTAGAAAACAGCAAACCAAGTGTCACTGTCCATAGACAACTGAAATAAGTCAAAAGGTTGCATGTCTGTAGGGTAAATTGTCTTTGTTGTGTATTAATTTATCTGGTCTCGCTGATTGTGTCTGTAAAAAGTTTATTAAAATATAAATATATACCATCTACTAATAAATGAAGAACATTACCGTCGTGACGCGGCGGCCGCTGGTACATATAGCAGGGCATGGGGATGTTCCAGGCCTGCTCTACGGACACAGGGCTCGGTGTGTCCACGGTGAATGTGGGCATCTGACGACAATCACTATTACAACATACTTGTATTTGTATTTGTACACGAGTGTCAATACATAACAATTATGTACACATATATAAGGTATGTGTCCTTGATGATTTTGCCGCTAGTGTTTTAACAAATAATTCTGTAATAGCCTATGGCATCTTAATTATTGTTTTTCGATTACTTTACCTAAACAATTTATTTAATTATAAATGCGACTATAATGGACTTACATTTGTCACTTATAAGTATGTGTCTCTAATTTGGCATTGATATAGACCATAGTCTGGAAAAACATAGGCTACTAAGTTTTTTTTTAATTTCGTAAACGAAGTTGAGGGCAAAAGATATGTTATAAAATAATCAAAATTGTAGACAAACTTGTCACACATGACTATTGAACACCAACACACCCAATTTAAGTTATGCAAATATCATACTCACATTACAAGAAGGTCCACCACCAATTAGCTGTTTCCTCGGTACTCTGCATGTGGAGAATCCTCTAGGCATTGGTACATCCGAGTTACTGGAGAGGATGTTCATGAGCACCGCAAACGCCTCAGACTCTGTCAGTAGTGATGATCGAGCTGGGCCTTCGGCAAACTGCTGAGGTGTTAGAGTCAGGAATCTTATCTTCTCTATCGCGCTGCGGATTGTCGGTTTTTCTTTGCCATCTATATTGATTAATATTTTAATGTAAGTAAACATTTCAACATATAAAGTATAATAAATAATTAATTATTCTATTTAGTTTTTCAACACTTTCGACCTATTATTAGCATACAATTGGTATATAAACAGTTGGCTTATATCATGGTAGAATTAAAAAAAATATTAAAAACCATTTGCATATAGAATATGACGGAGTTCAAATTAATTGTTATAAAGGATGATTCAAAATACAATTATCATTAAATTTAAGAAATTTATGGTTACACAGGTTTAATGTGATTTTTTAAAGCATTATAGTCATATTTACAGTATACAAAACTGTCTATATCCTGATAAAACAAACCTCTCGTCTTCTTAGGCTCCTCAGGTGGAGGCACAGGGTCAGAAACTATCACAGGCTGATCAGAAACTATCACAGGCTGGTCAGTCTCCGCTCTGCACACCTCCGGTACTGCTTCCGGACTGTTCTCCGCACTGCTCTCCACATTCACTACCTTTGGCACTATTGTTACTTTAGTGGCACTTGGCTCTGACTAAAATTTTACGATATACTTAAAAAAGGATGAAGATTAAATAAACTCTTTAAGTGTCGAAGAGTAGAGGTCTAAAGTTGCTGATGATGAAGCTGATGAAACAATTTATAAGATTTGCTTTTTGCTTGTTTTATTCAAAATAGACATTTTTGATTTTAATTCTGTGGTAGTGTGGAATAAACTTAAGTTGACTCTGCTGTCAAAACAATGATACAGTCAGTTGCATAATACAATGACAAAGCTTCAAAACCTATACTAGGTTTTGAAGCAATGACAAAGCTTCAAAACCTAGTATAGGTTTTGAAGCTTTGTCATTGTATTATAGGTATATAGGTTGTATTATATTATCACTTTAGGTTTCAAAAATTTACATAGAGGTCCACATAGTTCCAACTAGGAATATGTTCCAAAGACAAATAAGTGTGTACATATTTTTAAAACCATGTGCCTATACAAGTTGTACAAAATGAGTTTTTCTTACATACTTGATCTTTAGATGTGGATGGCGCTGGACTCTTTTCAGGTTCTACCACTTCTGCGGGAGGACTGACACTTCTCTCCGTTGTCCTCTTGTCTAAAGCTTTAGCATATCTTACTGCAGCATCAAATAGATCAAGTTCACTGTCCACATTCAGATGGTCCAGGGAAAATACTGTTATAACTGTATTTAATTCCACTTCTTCAAAACTATTGTCATTTAGAACCTCCTTTGTATTAGTGCTTATTATCTGTTTAAAAGAAAATAAAAAAATATAATCAGCCAGCTATACTTATTGTATTTGAAAAAAATTGGTTAATAAACTTTTTATAAAGGATTCTACTGCAAAAAGTTGTTGCTTGTTTACCTGTATACATTTTTCCATTAAAACATTTTCTTCAAAGAGTCTAGCAAACTCATATGCTCTGCAAGCATTTCTCGGATATAGATCTGACCACAGATATCTGGTACACTCCTTAACGAGATGAGGCAACATGTACTTCTTTGCCCCATAACACAACTCACAGGCTTTGTCAAATGAACTGATATTTATATTTCCTGTGTATATATACCTAGAAAAAATTATTGATTTTGAAGTTATATACACTATACATGTTGAAGTTATTCAAAATAAATGAAATACCGAAATTGTGACAAAAAGTCCCTAAATACTTACTCTAATAGTGCTTTAAATGCCTCGATTTGCACATCTAATATGGGTATAGGTTCATTCCTTTCCGCCATACCGCCGTAAAACATAGCTTCGAAGACAGGAGACGACATTGCCAATATTAATTTATGGCCAGATATCACTACTTGGGGCTCTGAGCCCACCAAGAACGTACAATCCGACCATTGTCCGGATTGCAATAGATATGCACCCCTTTGCTTCAATTCCGTACATTCTAATTGCCAATCAGTCATTTTCAGATTCGTTTTATATTTACAACTAAATTGACAAAGTTTCTATTTTCAGTGTACACAGTCATACACAACAAATTAGAAGAACAGACTAGAACTGTTTATTTTTTTAGTAGAAGAATTTGGAAAAGTAATCACTTGACGTAAACTGTCACCTGTCAAATCTTATATTTTTAAGGGACACATAACGAGACCTTTCTGCCAAGTCTAAGTAAATATAAAATAATTATGTCAAAAAGTAAAATAAAACGAGCCGGACAAATAAATCCTTACTGAAGTCAGGCGTGGAGATTTATTCACCGTTTTGACTTTAAAGGAAAGAAACACAATCTGCAAATAAGCGAACCTGAACCTGCACACACATTAGTTATTGCAGGTTCAGGTTTCTATGATTAACGGGTGCTTATACAATAGACCAGGATTTATTATTTGAAGTATTGGTTAATAATTAAAACAAAATTAAAATAATATCCGCATGTACTGTACAACAAAAACAACCACAAATATTAAAACTCACACATAGTAAAGAATTTTTCACATCAGGTTCTATATGTGCCATTTGTACAAAATAAAGCCTCTCTTAGAATCGTTCTTGTAGAAATGCCAAAGTCAACAAACGTTAGTATCGCCAAAACTGTTACATATGTGCATATCCAGAAAATTATAGCGATTATCATTAACCAAATAACTACATGGTGTCTCCATTTCTTATCTACATCTTCTACTGTGAGTCCTTTTTCCTCTAAATGTTTGGGGTCCATCTAAAATTTAAATTATAAATTAGATGCAATGACTTTCAAATGTAATCATATGTTGTGGATTTATGTATATCTATCATTAGATGTAATAAAACTAATATTCTTGTACATAATTCTGCTTTTAACGCTACTAGTGCGCCCCCTATGTACTATGCTTTGAGGAGGGAGAAGGAGGTTTACAGTCTTATGTAGGACTGTTTGATTCAGTGACGTCGTGTCCAGGATCCTAGGTCGCCCAACCACGCCCTACGCTAATGCATTGTTGGGACAAAAGATTAATAAAATACATACGGAAAGCACACTGTGGATTTTCTTATATACCAACGACATTGCTTATTTCATTAATTTAACAATAGCCAATGAGAGAACTGCCGGTTACAAAGATTTCTCTTGTTTGCTTACAACATAACTTAAATTTTACTTATCTAAAATAATAGATTTCCTATTACTATTTCATATTACACTGTCATTATTTAACTGTCAATTAGTGCTTACCAAATCTCATCAACCAGCCATTGGTAAAGAGGCCAAAGAGGTTTTAAGCGTTTATATGACCTCTAGAGGTTTAATAAGATTTTTCGTGTGATTAGTGAAGTTCTAGAGCTCGGGTGGTCATGTTTGAGAGTATAATACCAATAGGGTAATGTATACAAACAATATTTGTAACGCCTTTTTTATTAGTGGTTTTCCCGCGAGTTGCCCAGTGTTGCCACAGTTCTATATGTACTCTATTTGTAAAAAGTGGACGTATATAATAAATAAAGGTTAAATTTGTTTATCAAGCATTTTTTTTAGGTTTTATTTACTTGTAACATTAATTTTAAAATCTGTAATTGTAACATTCATTGTCTTGTAATACGATATTGCAATATCGCTCTAATTCATACCCATTTAAACATCAAGATTACATAATATTACTTATACATTTTATATTAGTTGAACTATATTATGATACATCGGCTATAGTGATAATTATCTACGAATAATAATATAAATACATCTGAACATTTTAAACATTTAATTTTAATTGACACCATTGATTGCCGACAAATCGTCTCTTTGCGCGTACGTTGAACGCGGCGTTATCTTTTCCCGCTCTTCGTTGCCCGCTAAGAAAATGGCGAGGTGCTCCTTGAAATAAATTATTGTTTTACTATTAAATATGTTAATTTAGTGAAATATTAACAACAAAATCACTATTTTAAAACATATAACTAATTATTGTTTCAATAAGAATCAAACGGATATATTAAAAAAAAATTACCAAATAAGTTTTTGAAGTCTCCTGCAACTGATGAAGCAAGGCCTGTACTTTGCAACGCCAGTTACGAACTTCGGACATCGCGGAATCAACCGGTAATGCCTAGGGATTTATATTAAAAGAAATAAAACAACTTGTAAATACAATACATTGCATGGTTAAAATAAGATTATTTGTCGATAAATAATTATTAGAATCGAATTTACATTCTCAAATCGAAAATTATAGTCGATAATTTTTAAATAATTTTTACGTTACCTTTAACAGCGCGTTAGCAGCGGTCGAGAGATGTTTTGATACCAGCGACATTCCTTGACGCATGTTGCTGAAATAAATGTTATTTTTTTAAATTAGTTGAGACGTTTTATGATTTTTTGTCGAGTGGCATAATCAAGTCAACATCAGAATTGGTTCTGTATGACGCTATATTTAAGTAACTACTTTTATTTAATTTGTTTTGCAATAATAGGCAACCAATAATGTATGGGAGTCACGGTTGAAGTGGTAACTAACTTGGGCAGATCGGTGTGAGTGTAATTGACGAGATGCACGACTTTCCTGGCGGTCTCTCGCGCCAGCAGCACCACTAGCTCCTCAAGGGTCGCAGGGCGCGCCTGGTTTTCCGGCTCTGGGCAGCTCAGCGATGCGTACAATTGCTTCGCTTTCTTCCATGCTAGAGCAGGGTCTGTCGCTACCTACCATAAATATGGGAGGAATTAATGGAGAACTTTGGCTTGTAAATGTTGCTATAACACAGTAATAGGTTTTGTATCAATACCAGTTCTGCGACGTAGACGAGCACGTGTATCTGCTCTTTGATGGCCTTGGCTTCAGCGAGAGCCTGTCGTGTCAGTCGGCGCTGCAACTTGCGCCGGAGTCTAGCACCGCGCTTGACCGCGTGCGCCGCGCATGCGCGCCCCGACTCCTCGCACGGCGCCCCCGCCTCGCCGCCCTCACCCTCCGCGCTCGTCACTATGATCACCACTATGATCGTGTTTACAGAAACATACACTGATTTGTTGATTACGTAATGACTTCATTGGTAAGGGACAGTGTCACACGAACTAATATCACACACATATGGAATCGCCCTAAGATTTAATAAGAAATCGCACAACTGTTGTGCGATTGTCGTTCGTTTCGCAGCTCATTCAACTGTTTAGTTGCATAACAAACAATCGAGTAGTGTGCGCACCTCCATATAAGGTCATAGTAATCAAAGTGGTTATGTCAAAGGTTTGCGAGCCCTCTGAAGAAGAAATTTTAGATGTTAAATATTGCTCATGCAAGTACTAAAGTGGTATCATTTTAGTTTTTGGCAATTTAATTTTGCTAGCGTTACATAAATTAATGAATTTAAAACTGAAATCTACTTCCAAATATCTTATATATACTTTTAATTATCATCAAATAACATCATAACCAAAAATAGTTCCAGACAAAACAATCTTCAAAAATCACGCATATCAAACTTAGGATATAATGTCAAATGAGTCACATTTGACACCCAGTAACCCTGGCGATAGCATCTAACTCGAGACAGCTCGCACGGCGGTCGGTATCAACGTCCGTCCGCACAAAGTCCGGCACATGCTATTTGTCACCCCCAGACGTGATCAGATAAGCATATTAAATGTTCCGGTAACATCAGTCACGTGTGTTGTCTAAAGTAATGAGGGATTTGCTTGGATTTTTGATTTGATTGAGGGATGGAGAAGATTAACTTGGTATAGGGAATTATGACGAAAGACAGCCTGACAAAGCAACTAGTAGTTGAAAATAACTCGTTTTTTTAATTTTCTCTTTTTTTTGTAAATATCACATATTAGTGTTAAATCTATGTACAAAAGAATGAAGGTTATCTATCTATTTATGTATCTAATGCGAGATTTGAGTAATAAAGTCAAAATAAAACTTGAAAGAAGTAATGTCAATGAAAACCCATTGTTAAAATATAAATGAGAGTTCCATGGTGGTATTACGTATGCGTTGTAGGGGAACATGAGCGATTCTTTTTAAATTGAGTGACTATTGTATGCCCAAATAATTAATCGAAACCCCAAATTAACAAATTTGATTGCTATACTAAATTTAGAAGCAATTAGACGGTCTGCAGACGATAGGTCAGCTATATATCATCTTAGGTTATCACAACAGCATATTACCGCATCATTCATATTATTGGATTCTAATTAGGATCGATTTTGTTAATTAGACATTTTAGTATAAACATATAGTGCTATACAAATTTAAAGTCAGCACACAATTTCGGATAATACCCTGCGTATAACATAATAGAGGTATGAAACGAATACGAAAGACGAGATACACCTCTTTGTAAAACCTCTCTTCCATCCATAGAGTGTCTATTTGCAGACATGTGCGTAGCTAACTCATGCCATAATAACATTTAAGTATACTTGTGTACTGCATCCCATCGCTCCTCTACAACCATGAGGGTCTTAGATCAATGGTAGCATAAAAATCCTTTGCTGTGTATCTTACTAATATTATAAATGCAAAAGTTGAGATGGATGGATGGATGTTACAGTCTGTAGCCTAAACGACTGAATGGATCTATATAAAAGGATGTAGGGGATAGTCTGCAAGAACACATAGGCTACTCACTTTTTTTAAATTAAGAAATTACGAAAGGTATTAACGTATATCTTACCATCAGCTGCATCTTGGTAATCCGGTGGTAAATACTTGTCGACGTATTTATCAGCGGTGGTGAGAGCCCGCTCCAGCGCGGTGGCGGTGACGGCCGTCATCCGCGAGTCTAGCACCGCCGTGCCCAGCTGCTTCACAGAGTCAGCGCGGCGCAGCACGTACTCACGCGTCTCTGAGTACATCTGTGATAGGGAAATGGCTGTTGCAATGTCCTCGACAAAGACAGACCACGCAAAAGAACAAGGAGAAAAAGGAATAGGGGAGGTTCTTTCTTCTAGATAAAGAATCTTATTTCAGCTATTCGCTATTAATATAGCTCTCTAATGAGAGTGATTTTAAATTTTTCCTTTCTAAGACAAAAATTAATAAAACAGTTGTTTTTTTTATTTAATTGTAAAGATACTTTTTAAAAACTTCTTGATACTTACTCTAGTCTAAGGTTTAGTAGAGTCGATGATAAAGGAAGTTGGTAATTAACTTACCATCTGAGGTGGCAGATATATAGAAGGCACTCTCTTCTCCACGACATCCAGTGATTTGCAGAGAAACTTGTCAAGCTGTTGTATGGGCGTTTCCAGCAATTGCACTGCTGGTAGCGCCATCTGCACTCCAGTAGACAGCGAACGCTCGCCCACGGATAAGTACCAACGGATCAGTGGATTCGAATCCTGGCAGAAAGAATACCAGTTTTAATAATTTGCCTTGTATATAAATGGCTCTTACAACAAATGCCAGTGACAAGGAGTATCGTGAATCGAGATTAAACCGGGTAAACATCTTTGACTATATTATCGCACAACCCTTGTACGATAGTCGATTGTTTCAAAGCCTATTGAACTGTTTTGTTGCACAACCAAAAATCGAGTAGTGTGTACCTCATGTGTGTAGCTCATAGAAATCAAAGCGAGACCCAGTTGTGCGATAGCGATAGTACGCTAGCTCTAGACCAGAGCAAAATTAA